ATGTTTGCTGCCTCCAGCTCACCTGCAGACATGACAACACTCCTCCACTCACATCTGGTTTTCCATTCGATCTGTATGGCACCTTTCTCCTTTCTCCTGATGTCATCACTTTTACTATTGGACAAGACTTCTCTTCTCATTGACCTTCATGGTTTCTACTCTTATTGCTTGTCTTTTGCCCTGGACTTAAAGGAGTCATATTATACCCTATTTCAACAAGTTAAGCTAGTTCCCTGGTGTCCTAATGTAATGTCTGTGACAAGCTTTGGTCAGAATCCCATAAGGATGAAGCCCAATAGCAGTTCAGTCCCCCTGCCTAACCCTAACCCTAACCCTAACCCAAAACAGCCCCGTTCAGAGCGCTCGCTTTGGAGTGCCTGTCTCTTTAAATGCAAATGAGACACAGGCAATCCACCCACTTCTTCAGGGAGGTGTGTCCACGCTAACGCTACCACGCTAACGCTACCACGCTAACGCTACCATGCTAACACTCACGCTACCAGGACGTCTCCACAGATAGGGGAGTAAGATGAGGGGGGGCAACATGCAGGTGAAAGGCTGGAATATTATTATGAGCTAGATAATATATAATAATATTAATATTATAATAATAATAATATTATAATGAGCTAGAGCTAATGACGTCAGAAACTACCCACTCCTGAAACCTCCTGATTTATCTCCTGGATTCAGACTGAGGCAGCCCACAAAAACATGAACCAGTCATTTTTTTCACACTTTGCCTGCTAATAGACCCTCCACAGTCCCAAATGTACATAATCAAATTATTAAAAACTTGGTTTTGCATAATATGTCCCCTTTAAAATATAACTTAACTTAAGCAAAAACTAAGCAAGGTTATATTCACACACAGTGATCAAAGGCACTCATTGCACTTGTTTTTCATCAGAAAAGAATAACAGATATAGTCTGGATCCCTTCAGTGCCCAGAGTCAGGACTAAACGAGGTGAGGCTGTACTCAGTGTTGTGCTGAGTTCAGACAGGCATCAACTCTGACAATGTTTAAATCCAGACTGATAACACTTCTGTCTAGTTGTGCCTTTGACAACTTAAACTATTTGATCTGCACTCTTCACTTTAATTAATCAACAATTTTCCCCTTGAACCTCATTAGTTAACGTCATTCCTAATTTCTGCTTTAAACCCTGACTTTTTAATGCATTTTCCATTTTTAAATCTTTTATGTAAAGCACTTTGAATAGTCTTGTACATTAAATCTGCTATCTGCTGAGGTTAAGGGTTCCACAATCAAATAAATATATCAGGACATACATACCTGGAAATCTCCCATTAATTATTTAAATGTATCATAAAATTAATAAAAACACAATTAGATAATCCATAATCAAATTATCATTTAAACCACTAAATAATTAAACATATGCTAAAACAGTCAAACACATAATGGAATTAGGAAATATGCAATTAAATAATAAGCTTTCTCATGAAATAATTAAATACACTTTTTCAAATATTAAAATGTACTTTTAAAGAAAAGTTTTATTTCTAAATGTATCTAATGATTTCACTGTGTATTGACTTATTTCCTGTGTCCTGAGTCAGGAAGATGCATAGTGGACAAAGATCTGCCAAGGATTGAATGAACTCCAGCGCAAATGTGGAGGGGAGAATAGGTAAATACACAGTGAAATAATCAAGTATTTTTGTAAATAAAAGCTTTCTTTAAAAGAGCATTTTAGTATTGAATAATTTAAAACGGTATATTTCATTATTTCATGGGACATGTAATCATTTAACTGCATACTTCATACTTCCATTATGTATGTATTGCTGTATTTAATTTTTTAGAGGTCAATATAATTATTCAATGACGTTTTTAAGAATTTCATATCATATTTGATTCATTAGTGGTAGCTTTATTTCAGGACGTGCTTAATTTATTTAATGTTGTCACCCTTCACCTACCGTAGGAAGTGGAGCCTGTGCCTTTAAGAGAGGACACCTCGGACCAGAGGGAGCGTTCCTCCAGGAGGCGCGCGGCCTGTGCGCGCGGCCTGTGCGCGCGGCCTGTGCGGGCGGACTTAAAGCTGGGCACCGTAAGGTGGTGGAGGGGACTCAGACCTGAGGCGACCCGTGACCCCGGTGGAGACACGGTACCGGAATAGAGGACCGAGACGTCCAAAGCCCGAGGTCTGCTCCTGCTCTGAGGTGGGCGCATAGGTCCTGGGGGGGGGGGGACTTTGAACTGAACACAAACTCGTCTCATAATGTCCTGAATACACACGTCTGCCACTAACGGCTCCACTTTAAGGCAGGCCAAACTCAGTCCGACTGGGAACGCTCCTGCGGCCGGTCTGCTGCTAGTCCCGGTACCAGTCGGGCAGATATGAAATCATCTTATGTACAGAATGTACGTTTACATGCATATTGCATAGAAGTTTAGAAGTTCCAACCCACCGGCCGGGCTCCTCCAGCCCGCAGCGCGAGGCTCCGGCTCACACCTGGAGGCGGGAACTGAGCAGACAGAATTCAATTTATACCTTCAAATTCTTATTTTCTTTAGGTGTATTTTACCTCTTTATCTTACTGTCTTTATTTAGGTTCTTTATTACGGCTTTATAAAGCTTTATAAGAATATTAGTTTTCTTATAAACTGAATGAAGACGTGTATAGGCTGACACAAGGTCACTTTGTTTTGAATAAGAGAGATGGCTGCGAGTTGAAGGTACGATGGCATAAACTACACATTCCACATGAAACTATCTGTTGTTCTGTGACTGTTGGAAAAGGCCGCTCAGGATGGAGGGGAAGCAGTGCTGTGTGAAGCTGTCTGTCCAGCCCTCCAGAGGCCTGGTGGATGAGAAGCTGCTGGTCCTGATCCAGAACCTTCCCCCCGGCCTCCCGCTGACCGTGCGTGCTGCCCACCAGTGTGAGGACGGACACAGCTGGCACGCGTTCGCTCACTACAACGCGGATGCCACTGGGACTGTGAACGGTACGTGAACCCCACCACGCCTGCAGGAGTCGGGGACATGCGCACTGCTTTACGATCTGTGCTCTTTGCCGGACAGTTTCAGAAGACGCCAGTCTGGGTGGAACGTACTCCGGGGTGGAACCCATGGGTTTACTGTGGAGCCTTAGGCCAGTTCCAGGGAGCAAACCTGGACTCCGGTCAGCCAGCTGTGCATACAGTGTGTTCCAACATGTGTAATAAATCTCAGAACTGACTCTGCTATCGCCCTTAGGATGAGGAAGAAGAACATCCAGAGTCCTATGGTGCTAATGATCTCGGTGTACCAGGGTCACCTGTGTGAAGGCTTTGCTGCTGGAGTCCCACTGGCAGGTGTCATGGTGGAGCGCTGGTACATGGCCCCAGGGGTCCGCAGGGTGCCCGTCACAGAAGACGGACTGACGGCAATGCTTTTCCTGCCCTCAGGTGAGAGGCAGAGTCAGCCTGGGGAGAGATAACTGCATATCAGGAGCAGTTTCCAGAACCCCAGAGAACACCATCACATGTTAGCTTCCACTCCAAAGACGACCCCAGGACATTTAGGCCTTTTTACACTTCAAACAGTAGATCGTTTTTACGTCACGATTTTATTACTATTGATAAATGAGACATTTTTGGAATAATCGCCGGCAGTTGGCTTCCTGAAGGTGACGCTGGCCCTCTCATTGAAGTGGGGGGTTGCTGTTATCTTCAGAAAGGTTTTTAAATGCTCGCCCATTTATCAAAGTGGTTTTTACTTCATTTGAACATCTTTGCTTAACATTCAAATCTCAACACTCAGTTCTCGTTTTAATGATCTAAAGACCTCCCAGTCCAGAAAATGTTTTTCAGTCCAAGAGTTTGCCAGGTTTCTATCTGGTGTTATTTCTTAATTTGAAGAAATTCTTATTCTTGGGTGATTTTTAGGTGTGCTGTATCACATTTAATGGATACACTAGAATATTTAGTCTGACCCAGACTGTACTGGAGCTGGCATATTCTAAAGGCTGCAGACTTGATCTAGTTATTCATCTTTCACCTGGTGGATTTCATTCATCTCCTACTTCCATTGTGTTTATTGATTTGATTTTAGCAAATATGAAAAGCAGCAAAAATCGAAGCCTCATCAAAAGATCCAAATGTTCCTTTTCTTTGTTGTAAATCATGTTTTGGCTATGAAATAAAAAACATTCCTAGACATTTAGCTACCATAGCTTTTAATCACTGCTGTCAGCTATTAGATCTATTTTTCTGTCCTTACCAGTTACCTGGGGAAACAGAGTATTTCAAGTGAGGCTGTAATGATCCATGCGCCTCAGGTAACTTTGGAGGAGCACATTTACAGGAGTAAATGTACATTAGAATAGGAAGAAATGACCTAAAATATGAGATGATGGATTGCTCTCTATTCAAGATAGAGTGCGAAGGGATTTCTTTTAGCCTCTTTGTCCCTCTGAAATAATCTGCTTCCCCTTTTATCCATCACAGAGGAATATCTGCTGCTATAGCGTTTCTTTTGTCATGACGGACAGTCACTCATGTGGGTTTAAAGTTCTTTGTTCCATCCCTACCAAAGCTACCAGGGGAACAGAAGTGAGAGAGGGAGGCTGAAATATCCTTCCACGTTCCCAGCCTAGATTTGAGACATTTCTGTCAGATTTAGTGTGCAGAAGCAGCCCTCCTCCAGACAACCAGCAGCCTTCTTTAGCAGCTGACAGAGGAGAGGGCGCAGGTTTGATTCTTTTCGATCCAAGGGCAGCCTTTGACTCCGTAGATGTGTAACGAAGAGCACTTTGCTCCTGTGGCTGTGTAAAGATGGCACCTGCACTTTGGTTGCTAGTAAATCTTGAATAATGACACAGGCACTTTGGTAAAACATTTCTACTTTATTGGGTTTGCACAAGATAATTTGCACATTTCCTTTTTTGCACAATCAGTGTAGATATAATTACAGGTTCCTGCATTCACTTGTCCTTTGCTTTAAATGGTCAGTGTGCAGGAAAAGGCCTCATGGCTCCACCAGCAAAAAGGAGATAGGGTATTGAACGTATTCCTGTGTGGTTAGGGAAATGCTTAACGGGAGGGAAATGTGACCGTCTGTCACATGTGTAGGTTGTGCTATAAATGTGAGAAAACTGTACATTGTTTCATATGTGGCTTGTTTCATCAACACTTTTATTCATAAATATAAGACAAAATGTTCATGAAAACATAACAAAAGAGGTAATTAATGTATTATCTTCACCGGGCAGCTATTTTACAAGAAAAGTCTGAAGTAACTCTGAAAGCTCTCCAAATAAGCCACTGTCACTGACTCACAGAATGTGAAAATGTAAAAACGTCTACTTTGACTCGCCTGTAGGACCGGGACCTTTCCCTGGTGTCTTGGACCTGTGGGGGGGGGGGTGGCCAGTTGGTGGAGTATCGTGCAGCGCTGCTGGCCTCTCATGGATTCGCCTCGCTGGCCCTTGACTACCTGACGTGTAAATTCACCATGGAGACTGGGAAGATGGTAGACAACCAATACTTTGAGGTGAAAACGGTTACGGTTTAGTTTTTTGTAAAACCCCCCCCTCGTTGGGCTGCTAACATGTAGCCCATTTCCCAGTGTTCGCTCCTCAAACTAGACAGATGAATTAAAAGATGCATTACTCATCAAATTGTACTTGGAGTAGGATTCTTATGCACCCTGAAACCTTTTTCTCCTGAAACCTTTTTCTCCTTGAAACTATTTAAATTATTTGTCAGCATGTCTGTAAATCTCGAAAGACTTTCTCCGATTTATTCACGTCAGCTCACTGAAGGACAGTTTGCCTAGATTTGATTGGTTTAACCCCTTTCAGCTTTGAGAGTTCAATTGACGGGAATGTGAAACAGAGTGAAAGGCTGCCGTGCCGTCCATAACCTCCAGTGGTGCCTGGCACCAACCCAGGGCAGCTTAATGATTAAGCCTTACAGGCAGTACCCAGCAGAGGTTATAATAACAATAATAATAAGTTACCAGGATTTTAAAGACTCACTTTATCACAGTGTGTCACCAGCAAAGGATTTTCTGATTTCAAATCCCAGAGATTGAACTCACACCAGATAAAAACAACATTCAAATCACTGGTTTTATCTCTAGCTTTTTCGTCTTCCTTTTTTTAAACGTCTTTTCCTGCTCCAGAATGCCTACAGATACCTGCAGCAGCATCCTCAGGTTCTGGGGAGCAGGATTGCTATGCTGGGTCTCTCTTTGGGTACCAGTATCACCCTCAAAATGGCAGTGTACTCCCAAGTAGTAAAGGTAAGTCACAGTTCTAAGAAGGACCTAATCAGTGCCTAAATATCAGGTACAGAGTCGTGTGCTATCTTGTAGAATCTTCTTCTCTGTGAAGGTTCTGTGAACCAACATAAGTTCAACTTAAAAAGAAACGTTTTTGTTTTAGCCGACCATTTGTCATCTAGATGTCTAAAATGTGTGTTAGATACATGTAATTGATGTTTATTGCCATGTTCCCCTCAGCTCCGCTGTGCTGTGTGTATTAGTGGGAGCCATGTGCAGCCTGTGGATGGATCTCTAGAACAAATAATGGCTTTCTTTAACAAGTAAGTTACTAGCTGATTTCTCTTAAAGCTGAAGTGTCATACCTGTGTCCTCTGTAACTGTAATGAGTTTGTTTTTTTGTTCACCAAGAAATTCTGACAAGACAATCTTCTCTGAAAACAACGAGCTGATTTGGCGAAATCTGCTGCTGCCCATCCCCACCGACCCCGCTTACAAAGTGGATGTGAGCACTATTAATCACAATTCTCTTTTTTACAGTTTTCAGATTTACCATTTTGGTTTTACTTTCCCCTTTACATTAATTGTATCTTTACTTTATAAAGTTTTCAGGTACTTAATGTGGAACTGTTTTCAAGACCAAAAAACTTGAAGCTCATTCCTAAAATGCGTTCGATTTTTTTCTTTGTTGAGAAATGGCAACAACTTTGTGAATTGCATTAAATCTGGCAAAGAAAATGAAAGGTCTTGATTTCCCAGCAGATTATGAGGTTTGCTTAGCTTGTAATTGTTTTGGGTTTCCTGTCAGTAGTCTGTCATGTCAGAAGGAAAAGAAAGAAAGCTCTACTGAGCTGTAGTGTTTGTCTGTGAGTAGGTGGGACGACTCCAGTGTCCGCTGCTGCTGGTTGTAGGGGAAGATGATCACAACTGGTGTGCCTCAGAGTCTGCAGAGGATGTAAGTTTACTCAGCTGGGATCTTTCTATTATTAATAAAAAATCCACCCAGTGAACCAGTTGAATTAATTGTTAAAACATGTGCATTTGATGCCCTGTAATACCACATGTATATTTGAAACATACCGTTTCTGAAATCTTTTACATTTGAGACCTTTTGCATCATTTGATGGTAAAAACTTTGCTCAAAGTGCTGTTGTGCACAATTAGATATCCCGGATAGCAGCAGGCAGAGGACTATACAATAATAATTTTGACGTATTGCACGGTAATAAATTAATATTCCAAAAAAGTGTTTTTTCCTTTTCAAAAGCCAATTAAAGACTTCAGACTAAAATAAATTCTCAGCTTTGTCATGGATCAGGCTTTAAAGGGTTAAGTAAAAAAGATTGTTATCAAAAAATATATATTCTTATTCCATTTGTTAAAAATCAGGCTTTGATACACTGTAAAGCATTCCCTGGATTTTATCAAAGGTTTCACTTGACTAAATAACTGGATCCCTGCAGGTCTGGGAAGTAACAAGGTATTAATAAATAATCTTTTGTGTACTTAGATTGGAAATGCTCTGTTACTGAAATATATGTGAACTGCATCTTATATGAAAAAATTGTATCAAAACATTTGCAGATCTGAAGAAAGAGCTTTTATAGTTCAGTAAGAAGCTTCTGCTGCTTCCAAAATGCCAATTGGTGCACAAGTACAGGTTATATTGCAAAAGCACTGTGTATAAGCCACGTTTTGTAAATATGTTGAATAGAGTAAATTAAGTCTATTTAGCATTTCGCAATGAGAATCTCCACAAATTTCTGGTCGACTGACTGAGGCCACCTGAGATCCTGGTCACAGAGACCAAGAGACAAACAGGACTTTAGGTTTTGAACTGGTTGTTTTCCAGATGAAGGAGATGATGGAGCGGGCGGGGAACAGCCACCTGCTAACGGTGCTGTCATACCCAAACGCAGGTCATCTGATCGAGCCCCCATACTCCCCGTTTGCCCGTGCCAGCCTGTTCAGGACAGTCCAGACACGGGAGAAAGGTACGGTTGCCTTTAAGAGCTGAAGCTCCCAAACAGACAGACGGTTTCTGGATGCAGGCGCTGACGTCTGAATTCTGTTTGCAGTGATAGCTCTGTGGGGGGGGCAAACGCTGGAACACTCTCGTGCTCAGGAGGACTCCTGGAGGAAGATGTTGGTCTTCCTGAGGGAGAATCTGTATGGCACCCCAAACCCTGGCATGACATCATTTTCCCACCTGTAATCAGGATAAGGACTTTTGATTGTACAACTGCCTAATGAAGCCATAATTATTTTCCATCATGGGTAACAGAATTCAATCCCTTCTGTGAAATTCAGAGGTTTCTGACCAGCGGGAAACAAGTCATGTGACTTTTTTTTTCATTTTCTGATACATTATTCTGATGTATTATCATGAAAACAAGGGAAATTTCTTTTAACATCCTCTGTAATGTATTCAGTGCATCAGCAAGATCAATAACCAGTGAGCATGCTCTGTCTTTGTCCAAAAACAACTCTGTCTTTTCAGAAATACAGAAGGAGCAGCACAATTAACATCGTAATTATTGCTAGAGGTTCAAAATCATTAAATGCTGTGTCGTTGGCAATATTGTGATATGTCAGACAAACACAAAAGACAGCCCAAAGACTGACTGTGAGTGCAGGTATGTGGGAGAGTGGGTGCACAAAGTGTTTAAAACTATCAGGAATTTTTAAAATAGTATGCTTATATGTTTTATTTTGCCAAAACTGTGGGTTGAAATTGAACTTTAGGCCTTAAACGTTTCAGCTGGTAGAGAGTAAATTTCTCTAAATACCACATTAATTTGACATTAAAGTTTGCATTTTAGCTCAAATGTTGTTTTTGCAGTTGAAGTAAATTGACAAGTGGTTTAATAAAGCTTTTCCTGTCAGAATAGCTCACATTTCTCATTGTTTTGAACTTAGTTAAATCCACTCCTCACATCTAGTTTGTTGATCTTTTGGAGTTGTGTTGCTTAACAGTTGTCATATGTATGTAAAACACTTTCAATCACTTTATTCAGTGATCATATGCTGAATGTATTTAATGAATAAATGATTACATTAGCTTGTTCAGCCATTTTGTCCAATGTACCTTTAAAGAAACGACTTAAAGTGCTTTAACTTCAAATTAGTGCATCTTCCTGAAAATCAGTTTTTCTGTGCAATGATTAAAGATTTGAATTGCTCTACCTGCTTCTTTAAAATCTTCAGAACATTAACTTTTAAAAGACTTGAATTGGTGAAAAATAATAATATTCAGTTTAAACATTTTGTTCTTAACTGAATTCTTGTTGTATATTTCATTACTGAAATGGGGACCTGTGTGTGCACTCCACCTCTCGCCCACGCTAGCATAAAAGAACCCATAGCTCTAGACCTTCACTCATTATATCAGCATGTTTAACTTACATTAGCTCTTTTTAAAGTTTATTTAAATATATTTATATTAATGTTATGAGTGCTCAAGTCCATCACAAGAAAAAAATTCTGCAAAATTCAAAACAAGAACAACTAAATGAAAATCAAGTGGACTGAATCAAATATGCAGGTGAGAGTGGACAGTTGTGTTGGTGCTGAGTGTCGTACCAGGTTCAGCAGTGGACGGCGTGCAGAAGAAGCTCCTCATCATCCTCTCTGCATTTCCCTGCAGGCAGCGGCAGCACCAGCCTGATGGCAGCTGGGACCGCTCCGTCCTGGGCTTAAAGAGACACAACGTGGTGCGTGACCAGACAGGCAAATGGACTATAAGGGCAGAGTGGAGGAGGAGCTGAGGAATGGGAATTGTTACTTGAGGATAAACCAGAGCAGATCAAGAGTAGAAATGTGGCAAAGCAATTTTGCTCAGCATAGCACGGTACGCAGATTTCAGTTCTACTAGCATAATGCTGAACAGGACAAGGTAAAAAAAAAAAAAGAGTACAAATGTGACATTTATTGGTCACAGGTAAAGTAGACAAAGCTCCCGGAGGATCCCAGTCAGCCAGAACCCCAAATCTGGCTCTGATGGACATTATCTTCTGGGCTGGGCCCCTTACAGTAGGAGGACTGCACTCAACCGAGTGTTATTGGCCAGTTAGCTCTGACATAAACAGGCCAGCTCCTAATTCATGCAGATTTCACTGGAGTGTGATAAGAAAGTGTGCCAAGCGATGCCTGGAGGGGGCTGAACATAAGGATGGGAAGGAAACAAAAATGAGACCCCCCTCAGTGTGACGAGGCTGTAAGACTGGCTACTGAGTTGAATGTTTTGATGCCAGACTGGCTGAATGTGCAGGGGTGACACCTGTCCCTGTGCTCAAAGGAAAGGTCCTGAAAGAGCCACCCTCCACCCCACTCACCCCACTGCTCCAGATGTTCCACAACATCGCTTTTCCCCCCCAAGCCTGGAAAATGGCAGCCATTATCCCGGTGCCCAAAACAACTCATGCAAAGTCACAAATGATTCAATTCCATGTGCAATTCCCATTTAGAGCCAGTCGAGATGTGGAAGGTGTCCCTTTTACTCGTTTGTATTAAATATTCTATCACTTAAGACTTTTAAAACTTTGATGTGTTGTTAAAATCCTGACTGGCTTTTCTTTAACTCCGGTGTTATCACCTCTCCTACCGTCCCGTGCACAGACGAGTTGGGATGTAGCAGCAGACCTCTCTTGCGTGAGCCGATGACACGGCCTGGTTGCTGGCAGGCCTTGCTGCCTACTCCCACCACATGGCCCAAATTACCGCCCGGCTCGAGGATAGCTTCCTGGACATTAATGTTAGTAAAACTAAAGACGTGTTTTGGATAGAAAGCAGGAGCAGAGAGCCTGGGGTGCATCATCAATCCTATTAGCATGAGAGGGAAGGGTGTGGAGCAGGTCACTGGGTTTAAATATCTTGGCACAACCATTGACAATAACCTCACTTTAAAGGGAAATGCAGAGAAAGTCTACGAAAAAAGCAAGATAGCGACTCCATCTTCTCAGGAAACTGGTGAGCTTTCATGCCAGGAAACAAACTCTGACCAGGGCCTACCGCTTTTTACAGTATCTCTTGGTATGGGAACCTCTGAGTTAGACGCAATAACAAGCTGACTCGGGTAGTTAACCAGGCCAGAAAGATAATAGGGGTCAAGCAAATGCAGCGCCAGGAAATGAACAACTATTCTTTAAGGGTAAACCCTAACCCTAACCCTAACCCTAACCCAGATTTACAATGGGACCAGCCACCCTCTCAACTTTGTTTGTTAGGGTTAGGGTTAGGTGTTGAAAATACAATTTTAAAAAGATACGCTTCCTTATAAACACAGTTTCGCGCGTCGGTGTCAATTCGAAAACAGTTCCTGTGTCAGTCACGTGACTTTGTTAAATCAACACGAGCACCCAAACGGGGGTTTGCGCTCTGAGTTCGACGCATGCGCGGACGCTTCGGTGTTGCCAGACCCATCGCAACCGTTCGAAACCAAGCGAGGGAAAACTTCATTTCCTAGCGTAAGTTCTCCGCTTTTATGTTATTGTTTGGATGTGGCGTTTAACTGCGATGGGCTGCATTGGTCTTTAAAAAAGCTATCTGAAATGTTTTTAGAGTTTTGTCATTCATAGCCGAGTTGCCTGAGAGCTTGTGTGGCGACACCTAACACATAGTATTAAAGCTTGAGTTACTGACAGATTTCAGGATTTTCAAAAATCTCCAAAGTGTTCTTATACACATCAATGGTATGTTAATAAGATTTATTTTCTTATATTCTAGTTTTATTTTGGATGCTTATAAAAATTCAATTGTAATATTGTCTTTCTAATAGTGTTTACGTCCCCGTTTTGATAATTAGCTATATCCAACTTCACCATTGAATTCTTCAGAATCTAAATACGTCTTTTATGATGGATCGTTGACATCATTACTCTTTCAGTTCAGAGCAGTGTTGAAACATTAAGGACGCTATGGTTTATTTGTTTAATATTTGAAATGTAGAAAAGCATCAATGTGCTTATTATTGACTATTTTTGTTACATGGAAATCTGGAAATGTTACTGAATAGATGGTCAGGTCAAAACGATATCGCAGCTCTTTTCCGTGATTAGATTTTGTGAAAAAGTTCTGGCTGTATATGAACATTTAAACCGACTAAGAAGAAACTAAAAGGTGAACTCTGAGCTGGAGTTTGCTAACTAGCTAGAGATGAGTTTCCTGTGTCGTAAACGCAAACTGAATCGTTATTTATCGTGGTAAAACTTGATAATATGAAGGTTGTCATTACTCCCACGTAACGAAAGAAGCTAGTAGCTGCACAGGTTGGCTGTTGTTGTGCTTTATTAGCCCGCAACAAAATACAACTCGGTATCTACGGCAAGCCGTTGTTCCAAAAAGCCTCTTTCTGCTACAAACTGCTGATAGGGTTGTGTCTGCAGCGGGCACAGCTTGGTAAAGCTGTTCGGTTCTTTTTTCAGTGTCTCTGATCTGCATTTGATAAAGATGTGTTTGTTGATGACTGTGAATTATGGAGCTATTGTTAAATATGATTAAAAAGCTAAATGATTTATTGTGTTGATGATGGAGCACAATGTTTTTACACTTGCCAAAACAGCACCACTAGCTTTTATTTCAAATAAGGGTTATGTTTAAAATTTATTTATTTTGTTCTGAAGACAAAAGCTGCTGCATCCTGTATGCTTTAATTGAAATGGGATTTTAATGGCCTAATTCGTTTCAAATGACTTTAAATGCTCAAATTAAATCCTCTTTTATCCTCTTCAGTGCATCTTCAAAGGCTCAACGATGACACTGTGGGAAGTTTTACCTGCCCAAAAGGCATTGCAATGCATTTTTAATCTTATACCTGATTTCATTCACGAGTCAAATGCACATAGCTTACAAGCCAGTCATTTCTTTTCCTACCCTATCCCACTCTCTTTTTAGGGGCAATTTTATTCTAACTTTTCAGTTTTTGATTGTAAAATGTGATTACAGCCCCAGACTTGCCAATTTTACACCTATACCTTACAATGGCCGGATTTTATGTTTATGATTGAACAGACACCAAATCGACTTACAATGCAGATACAACATTATTAAGTATAATGCAAGTAAATATTTCCCTTTTCCTCTCTCTCGATGACCCTGACATCCCTGTAGGCCTGCAGCAGTAACCACTGGCTAGTATGAAGTTAAGGCATTGCATGGGATTTTGACTTTATTATTGTTTTGCTTATTTTCTCCTAGGTGATCTCAAAATTATGCCCATCCATGTTCTTTCAGAGGGCAAAGGGCCAAGCGCCCCAGTACCTGCTCACCTGACCAGGATCCCTGTGGCTCTGCTAACCACCAGCACTGAATGTGCCGACAAAGTAGTAAAGGTCTGCTGTGTGATGAATGGATCATTAAAGAGGATTTAAACTGTTCTTCTCTGAGGGATTTTGCTGAACTAATTCTGCAGTCGGACTGTAGACCCTGATCAGTTTTGGACGTGGTGTAATCAGCAAAATAAGATGATGTTTATTAGTTCTATAGAAGTCTATGTCAAACCTAAATGAAACACTGTGATGTTTATTTATCTGATTTTACAAAAGTACAGTTGCCTGAAGTGCTGTACGATTAGATAATTAAAACAGTAAACACAAATAAAAAAACTAAAAGTTGAAATGAACATCAAGTTCAACTATTTTGAAAACCAAGTCTAAAAAATTCTGTTTTACAAAAAATAAGATGTTTGAACTAAGATTTTAAATGCTTAATCAGTCTTAAGTCAATACTTAAAACCTTTTTTTGGTGTTACGGTCTGAGTACTTCTGCCTAATATAAATTGCTCATATAGGTGTTAGGCTTGTCCCGATCCGATATCTGGATCGGATCGGCCGCAGATATTTGTAAAAAATGCATATCGGCCGGCAGGAGAAAACACAGATCTAGACCCCCCCACACGAGCATTAGCATTAGCATCTCCTAACCCACGGGTCTGTGTCCTAACCATTAAGTATTTATCAGAGTAAATCCCTGTTCAACATGACTCTGACAGCTAGTAAGTAGATAAATAACTTTAGACTTTAACACAGGCTCTGATAGGCCGGGATCGGGATCAGATCGGAAGTGCAAAAAGTTGGATCGGGACATCTCTACATTTTTTTCTTCCATGTTCCATAATCTTTGTGAGAGTAACAATGAAGTTACATTGTGCAACTGACACTTTTCAGCTTTTTGGCTCATCCACACCAGAAAAACACCAGTTAAAGATCTTCTACAGAACATTTTAATTATGCTCTCTCACTTGCTTGAGGCAAACTGGACATACCTGATTTAACATATGTTCATATGAAGCTATGCTAGATTATGGGAAATAAGTCACCTTTAGCTCCAACTTCATCAAAAACTAAACAAAAACATTGGGCTACACCTAGCACACCTTCATACCATCTTTAGAACAGAGCAATTTTTCTGTTTTCCTGGCATTTCCCTTTTTTAATTATCCGTCATCTGCCTGTCTTTATCTGTTCTGTCTACCCTATTATTGTTCTTCTTTTTAGCTTTCTGACATTACTTTCATCAGTTGATAGGCTCTCAAAGCAACTTTTAAAGTGTATTAAATGTCAATATTTTTTCCTTTCCCAGGGTAAAGTGGTTCGTAAAGGTCCGCTGGTGGCGATAGCACCGGATGATTTCATCCTGAAAACTATTATCCATGGTAACACACAGACCTGGATTTATCTATCATGTTTTTTTTTTTTTTTACTGCACCTGACTTATGGTTTAAAGTAGAATTTTGTTCTGTTACAATGACTTCTACTTCATAGATTTCTATTAATATTTTTGAATGTGGGTCTTTCAAGCTGAAAACAGTTAGAATGAGTGTGATACATTTTTAATACCTTTTTAAGATCTCAACTTTATAATTTCAAACATATATATACATTTTTTCTGCATTATCCTTAAAAAATTCAAACTAATAATGAAACCATTGTATTCTGAAATACTTTTTTTCATTTGGCCTTATCTTACCGCTTAAGTTATGATAGAGAAGGAGAACGAAAAAAGAGAGGAACCTTTTATCCGTTCTGCAGTGCAGTGAGATGCGCCTCTCACCACATTCTGTGGAGGGGATATTTATTGTTGAGGACGAGACAGCTTCAGCCCCTCCTGTACGCTGCCTCTATGTAGGCAGATCAGTCAGGTCGAGTCATTCAGAAATATGATTTTATGTATCAACATTAGGCCTTACAATTATGTTCATATTGCCTCATCATCCTAATGCTTAAAGGCACATTTCACACTAACTTGCAGTTTTCCAAAAACATGTTATGGACTGGTTTCTAGATGAAGAATCAATGCTGGATGTTTCAGCGCAGAACTCTTCCATCAACGTCATCTGGTTTGGAGACCTGGCCAAAAACTTCAGTCAGGACGTCAATGAAGGGGTAGGTTTGCCTTTTGGTCAAAGACATGGGCTTTTACTTTGGAGTTTAGTTTTGATCCATTTAAAAATCTATATTTATACTATAAAATGTTATCAGTCATGGCGGGGGGTGAAGACAATATTACCATGTATACAGTTAGCTTTCCCGTCTCGTTTGGGTTAATAAACGTGTTTTGCATGGTTCTCAAGCTGCATTTCGTTCCCCATCAAATAGGGTTGTCAAAAGTATCGATACTCAAAAAAGTATCGATACTAAAATGTTGTATCCGGATACGATACTCATTTTCAAAAGTATCGATACCACCGCGCGAGCCCGTGCGAGTCCGCGCGAGCACGCGCGCGCGCGACGCTGACCTGCCGTCGCTGCTCCCCTTCTCTCTGATTTATTTACGTTGTTTATGATCATTAACAAGTTGTTAGCCTTGAACTGCTAGCTTCGGTTAATGGCTAATAATAACGTGCTACCATTAATCAAGTACATATCCGACTCCGCCCACATCGAAGTCGGCCATTATAGTTACATTAACAATAGGAAGATTCCAGGCAAGAAAATCCTAATTGCCACATGGCAATATAGAGATTCAATTAAAAATTGTGAAATTAATCCTTCAAACACTTAATTAAACTCTATGCATATTATTATGTTAAAATAGTGTATGTTAAATAGGTTTGTACAATAAGTCCAAACAAGTTTAACCCAAAAATATTTATTTCTCACAATTATGAAGGGTGGAGGGTTAGGGTCAGGGTCAGGGTCAGGGTTAGGGTTAGGGTTAGGGTTATTAATGCAGGCCACCAGTCACAATAACATCAGTAACAGGTCAGTTTGAAATGAAAGACACTAACCTGTCAAAATTCATTTAAATTTTGGGGTCTTTTTTTTATCCTTGTGGTATCGAAAATGGTATCGAGTATCGAGTATTTTCCTGAGTATCGGTATCGAGTTGAAAATTTTAGTATCGTGACAACCCTACCATCAAATGTATTTGGCATTATTGTCTAAAAAATCCAGCAGGCTATATATACAGTTTTGAAGATTTAAAAAATCTTTAAGGTAACAATTTACCACTAATGTCAACTGTTAACACCTTTAGCAGGAGGGAAGCATTTGAGGTTGAAGAAGCTGCTGGTTAACGTTGTTGCGGCCGACAGCCACTCAGAGTAGGGACGTCAGGTCTGGAATATTTCATTTAGTACTAATCATGCAATCCGCCGGGAATTGAGTGAATTTACTTATGGATGAGGTCAGTTTTGGAGAAAAAAAACTACAAATGGCAGAACACCTTGTGTAGGTTAACTTTTGGGAAAGTACAAAATGTAACTTAGTTTTTATAAAAACATGAAAATATAAGAGAAAACACAACCTCAACCTATTGGAACAAGTTTTCAATGTTTTCACAATTTATACAATTGCCATTTAAACGTTGTTTTGCTATTTTCTCCAGTAATCTCAATGCAGCAAGCCTGAGTCTAGATTTTACATCTGTGTGTCATAATTATGTTAGTATCCTTTCTAAGTTTCCATTTGATGACCTAGGAGTCTTTTACCTGGGAGACTAGGTATTTATTCATATGAATACATTGAATTTGGTGTGAGGAACACTTAGAGTAGTGTTGCATCTTTCATAAACTTTCTCAAATTAAAATGGTCAAGAAGAGAGGATTCAAATCTGCATACCCTTCAGTGGTAGAATGGTGATATTTACCAGAATATCATTTTTTACAAACCAATCTTTTTTGTTAATTATTTGTCACTCTGATTTTACTTTTGGTTGCTGTTTTCTAGTGTTCTGAATGATTGTGGAATCATAACTAGCACCACTGAACTTCTTAGTGGGATCTCAATGATTACAAGTGTCTGATTCTCCTGAACAGCACAATGTTGTTTTGAAAGCATCTTTACGGCAGCATTTTTTTTAGGATATAGCACCTGCTTCTGCACTCTGTTTCTAATCTGTCAGCTCTAATGTTTGACTCCTCGCCTGCAGGATGTGGTGGAGCTCTGTGGCTTTAGGTTGGGGAAATCTCCAACAGCCAAAAAGGACAAGCTTCATCCCTGTAACCTTCTGCTGTCGGGAAACGATGCACATGGCTATGTGAGGTTTTTCTTTAAATCAAAGTTTATGAGCTTCATGTATAAATATATACAGATGAAGATTTATTTTAAATTCTGCACCATATGAATAAAGGCTTAAAGCTCATTTTGTGGGGGGTGATAAACTGTGACTCTTGAACGGTGCAATCTAACACCCCCCATTCACATAAACACATTCCAAGATGGTGACTTCAGTTACATTAATGCAAATTATGTTTCCATATACATAAATATAGTTACAAATGAGATGTCCTGCTATAAATGACATATGACTGATGTTTGGCTTGGTCAAAGGTCAGCAAAAAGTAGATATACTGTAAAAAGTTCATATGAATATGTGTTCTCCTGTGTCACCCTTTTTTTCCCTTTTAGGTTACCAGGGTGACCAAGGCTCCAAAATACAAATATGTGCGACTGAATGATTTAAAGGATGGATCTATTGTCAATGTGTATGGTGTGGTGGTGTTCTTCAAACAGCCGTTTAAGAGCCGGGGCACAGGTCAGTCACAAACCCAGAACTTGTGTCAATCAGCGGTGTGGAGCGTTGCTGTGAGCCCCCTGCTGACACCACACACACACACACACCACACACACACACACACACACACACACACCACACACACACACACACACACACACACACCACACACACCACACACACACACACACACACACCACACACACCACACACACACACCACACACACACACACACCCTTTGGAGGAAACCCATTTCGGCGAGTTGTATTCACGATCGTTCGTGTTCATGACCCAGATACTTTAAACGAGGGTGCTCCTACCAGGGGCATGAAGCCCCGACGACATGGCTCCTGCAGACATTGGGACACTCAAACCCCTCCACCACCATGAGATGGCAGCCCAGGGAGAGGTTTTAAGTCCTTAGAAAGCATAAATCAGGACGTTATCAGCTGATGGTGGATCTTTAGCAAAATCCTCTATTTTGTCTTTGACATAATCCAGACTAAACACTGGTGTGTTTGGGCCTGTGGTCTCACAGTATAAGAGCTCCATATTCAAATCCCAGTTACAAGTTTCAGTGTGGAGTGTGTATATTTTCCCTGTGCTGGTCCTGGTTGTGTGTACACCAGCAAACAGCCCATGTTCTAAAGACTGACATGATGACTTGACTGGTGATCATCTCATGGCAGTAGGAATAGACTCCAGTGGGAGCCCTGCAGCCCTGAATTGGATCAAGTGGGAATAGAAAAATGGGTGCATGGATATTCATATTGCACAACGGAGGATCAGATAATCAGAAGAAAGCTGCGGAACGGTGAAAAACATTAGCTGTTTCCAGCTTTTGATGCTCTTGAATCAAACAGCCATCCATTATCGTTACCTCTTCTTCCCTAATGGGGTCGCTGGGAGAACTGGAGCTTATCCCAGTGGTCAATGGGTGAGAGGCGGGGTCACCCTGGACGGTCACAAAATCTTGGATCAAACATCATCTCCTAAAAGTGGGTTTCTGTGTTTTCTCAGATTTCTGCTCCAGCCTGAGGATCACTGATCAGTCCAACCACAAAATCAGCTGCACCGTCTTCTGTGAGAAGCTGGAGGACCATCCCAAAATCTTTCGAATTGGAGACATAATTCGCATGCACAGAGTCAAGGTGCAGCCTCGAGAATGCACGTTTGAGCGGACATGTCCAAAACGCTGCTCATAGTAGGTCAGTAAGACATTGCAGAGTCATGTTTGTACACAACCTGTGCTGACTGATCCCATGCAGGCCCAGTTCTTCAACAACGCCATGACACTGGTGAACACGTTCGGCTTCTCCGCTGTGACGTTCGATGGAGCTGTGGACGCAGCGGTGAATCCTCAGACATCCAGCCACCGCTTTCACTTCGACCAGGAGGACCAGCAGAGGGTCAGGGAGCTGAGGTCCTGGGCTGCCAGCCAGGACCTCCTGCTGTCCCCTTCAGACCTCCACCCCCTGTCCGCGGTTCAGCCCAAGGATTTCTTTGACCTGACATGCCAGTTGCTGGCCAAAGCTCCCATCGACATCAACTGCACGCTGCTGAGGGTAAGGCCCCTGGAAATATAGCTTCATGTGCACATTTTGCTCCATGCAGATGTACCGGAGCGGCCATTTATTGATGTCTTTCTATTTAGATAAGTCAGGATATGCCTCCTACCTGTTTTTTACATCCGGCAATTATTTCAGTACTTAGATCTGCCGGCCAAAGAAATCAAGAAAATTCTTCGGCCCTTTAAAGTGAAGAATAAATAAACGGGGGCTTGCTTTGGTTAGCAGCTAGGCTAACTTAAAATAACTTGTTTCGCTGCCAATGACAATGACAGGCAAACGCAGGTGGTGATGGGGGAATTTCCATTGTTGCGTGCTTCTGCTTTATATTAGAGTTGTTAACTTTTGCTTCATACAAAGAGTCCATGGTGGGGGAAATGATTAAGAAGTCGCTTAATTTTTTATAGCGGTTTGCATCTGAAGCTGCAATTTGTACTTAGATATTTTTCATTCCTTCATCATCCAGACAGCTTATTTCCATCCCAGCTGATGTTGGGTGTGCCTGAGCAGGCTGTGCCTGAGCAGGCTGTTAGTCCATCACCGGGCACACAGAGACACACAACCACACACACCCACACTCACTCCCATAGGCAATTTGGAATGTTCAGTTCAGGTAAACTGTCTGTTTTATTGATGTTGGGGGAACCAGCACATGCACAGGGAGAACAGGCAAACTCCACACAGACAGAAAGGCCCCGTCTCTCCTGGGGGCTCTGTAGCGGGGAGGGGCTAACCACCACACAGGCATGCCGCCCTGTCTGGGTTTATTAGAGAATATGTTCTGATAACTGCCGGAGTTTGCAATTCAAATAAAGACCTGATTCAATGGCTGTGCACATGTGGCGTAACGGGGGAGGACGCATTCAGGGGGGGCTGAAAGGTTTTCTCATGACCAAGGGAGGGCTTTTCATAAAAATGTTTAAAAAAACTGGGGGCCACTAGTAATTAAGTCATAATCCTGTGAATTCCAGCTCATTAGATTCGGAATTAGTTCAATACACACAGACAATTCTACAAAGTGTCCTATCTTGGATCCAATTCCCCATTCTGAGCACGTATGAGGCAGCTGTAGAAAGACAGAACTCTCTTCCATCCAGGAGAAACCTCTGGCTCACTTGGTCGATCGACCTAAACCCAATACGTGGTGTACCTGGGGGAGGGTTGAAATTGGGTTATTGATGAGCCAGGGGGGATGTTTACCTTTAGTGTGTGAGCTTTCCAGAAATGAAGAACTAACCAAGGAGGGTCTTGCTTTTCATACCGCTTCCAATCATCAACGGTCAGCCCCAGTGCTTCCTTCTGGTTGGCTGTTGAGTCTTTGTTCTTTCAGGTGTGGGACGGGACCGTGTGTTCGCAAACTCTACTTAAAGTGATCGTCGAGCCGAATTTGATAGAAGGACCGTCCTCCTTTCCAGAGGAAAAAGAAAGGCTTATTGCTAATGTGTTTGTGTACGACAATCACGTGGGTTTTGCCAAAGAGCTGAAGGTCAGAATCCAACCAGTTTTTTATTCTTTTATTTTCTTCTACTTTCTTCTTTGATTTGACTCAGATTTCATGACATTGCCCATCTGTTAAAAGTGTTAAGAGCCCCAGCTTTTATTTGCAAGAGCACTGGCAATTAAACTCATTTTTAGTTTTGTATCATAATCATACTATTGTACTCTTGTTACAAATATTGATATAGTCTTAATATACTTTATTAAGACTACTTTTAAGACAAATATTGAAACTTCATTCATTTTGAGTGACAGGCTAATAGAGTACTGCCCCACGGAAACATAGTCCCGCGCTGGTAAATGATTTTCTTCTCAGCCTGGAGACTTTCTGAGGATCTACAACCTGCAAGCCCTCCCAGGATTACATAAGCTCCCAGGCCTTACCAGCAGGAAAGAAGAGGAGATGAATCATCTGGCGTTTCACCTGCATGGGGGGACATCTTATGGCAGGGGAATCAAAGTTCTTCCAGAAGACAATCCTGAGGTGCAAAGTCTCAAGAAGTAAGACAAAATCAGATGGTCAAATACAACTAAAACTAGGATTTGACTTGAATAATTGAGTCGGTTGAAGCAATGACACAATAAATCACTCTGAGATTGGCCGGAGGTTCAGAGTGTCACCTTTAGTTTAGAACTTAAGAAAACCTTGGAATGGCAGTTGCAGTGTCTTCTAGAGCCAGGAGGTCCAGTTTAACTGAGCGGTTTGAACTCTTTCAAAACTGATGACAGCGGGAACTGTTTACTCTAAATTCATGTTTTTGAACATGTCTGTTTGTCTGTTTCGAAGAGGAAAGTTTGTTATAAAGTTCTGATAACTGTGTATGTGTTTGTAGAGTCATTCAGTCTGTGGAAGAGGACGTCAACGATAAACTCCACAACCTGGACGACTTGGAGCTGTTGGAGGTGTGGAGCACTCCACCAGAAAGTTTGGGTAGGAGAAGTGTGCGTGTCAGTCCATGGTTTGTGTGGCTAGTTTGTGGCTGTGAGTTCTTTGGTGGTCACCAGGGTGCTGCTCTGTGGTCTTCTTCTTTTGGAGCTTCTTCTCATCTGGTTTTTCCAAGCCAGTGAACCACGTCTGTACAGAAACACTCCTCCTGTTGTTCAGTTCGTCCCTTTGGTCACCTCATAAGTGGAGCCGATAAGGCTAAAATGAGCTCTTATCTGGAACTTTAGTCTTTGCGTCCTCTTGGTGATGGGCAGATGTTTATAGCATTAAGCGTCTCACTCCTCAGACACCATTGGGAAATGTCATAACTATTCTAATCCTTTGACTTAATGATCACACAATGAACCGAATTAGAGATCATTTAAGCATCTCTATACTACTTACTGTATACTACTCTATACTACTTATCCCTAGTGGTGCCTCGGGGGGGTCGGGGCATGTCCCAGCTGTTATTAGGTACACACTGGACGGTCACCAGTCCATCGCAGGGTGACACAGAGACAATCAGGACGGACGAGCACACACACTCCCTCTGTGAGCACTACTTGTTGTATCTTAATTATCTAACATCTTCCTGATATCTGGCAGAGAGAAGCTGCGGCCCCCACATGGAGCAGGTGACTCTGTCCCAGCTGAAGCACAGCCGTCTGGAGGGAGTCCACCACGTTCGAGCTCAGCTCGTTTCCTTTGAGCCTCGCAGACTCTCCCAGGCTCTGAAACTCTTCTGCAGCAAGTGTGCATCCATGTGAGCCCCCACACACACGCTGACCCTGCATCTGTCCACAGCTTTAATTAAGGACACCATTTCTCTGTTTACAGCACATGCAGCGAGTGAATAAAGAGCACTTTGGCCAAAGTTTCATTGGATTTTGGCAATTGTAAATTCATGCAATTGAGAAAATAGATTTAGCAAACATTATTAACGTATAATCAAGTAAAACATGTGATTTCTGATTTTAATCTTAGTGAAGATGTTCCAGATGAGGACCAGGTGGCAGCGGTCTTTTCGGAGTCATGCAGGCACTCTGAAGTCTGCAGTCCTCCACCGTGGGCACTCAGTGGATATATCGACATTCCTGCAGACTCTCCAGGATCCCGGGACCGTGCCCTTAGTGTTTACCTGTCCACCGAGCTCTTGATTAGGGGCAAAACCAAGGATCTGGTCTTCCTAATGGGTGACATACATATTAACCTCATTGTTCTAAGATTTTCTTGTTTTTTTATATCAAGATAAACTTAATCAGAATTAAGGAAACATGTACGTTACACAATAGTCATCTGGTCTTGTAAAAATGAAAGTAAGGTGAACAGTTTTCTGGCTAATTTCAGAGGTCTTGATGCTCCGTAGGGACTTCTCTGGAAGAAACGTGCAAAGTAGCTGAAGGCTACCGGAACCTTGTTCCTGTGACGGCGGCAGCTGGTCACCTGTCCCTGCTCAGCCAACCAGCACCTTTCCTGTTCAGAGGCGGGAACAGATACTATGGGTCTGAGACATGCTTCACGCTTTTTCTGTCATGAATGATGATGAATACATTGAAAGACGCCTGTTGGATAATCCCTGTTAATGTCCTGGTACTGCTGACACGTGCGGTAAAAGAGAACACGTGACTATACTGTCAGTACTGACCTCTCTGTTGGCGCTCTACACTCTGAAACTGCTTGTGTGCCGTTACAGCAGTTTTCCTTTGCTCTGTAGGTGTAAACGCTGCTCTAAGGCCACTATAAAGGAGCCAAATACGGAGGGAGAGCAGGTGATGGATGAGAAGATGGTTGCAGAGGGTGAGAGAGCAGCATCACAGAGTCTGTGATAACACGCTTCACAGCACACCGGTGGAGAGCTACTGGCTTTGCTGTTAAAAAAGATCATCTAATATCTCTTCTTGTTTTCGGGCTAGTCTGAATAGTCAGATTCTTTTCCCCTTGGTTTTGAATTTTACTTTATATTTCCTATAGCACAACTACCAAGATTCTATCAGTCTTTCATAGTTGATGAATGCAGGGACTGTCCCCTGAGGTCAAACACAGATGTCTTATTCAACAGGGCCGATAAGCTCCTTGATTTTTTGGTTTGTGTATGATACGCTGACATAGCAGTTAACAGCCATGCCAGCAGAAGGTGGCAGTAGCATGCTATGCTTACATCTATTGAGAAATGGCAGCCAGTCTTTGTAACTAGGGCATGCTATTTAGCAGAAGTAGTACAGCAGATAGTAACAAAGCAGGCAGTTCAGCAGGTGGTACGCTGCAAAAAAAAGAATAGATGAACAAGTGAGGAGCTGCAATGCTTTGATGAGTCGCCACCCAAGCCGACTGAGTAGTTGTTTCATTTCTTTATGGCTCAGTTTTCAGTGCCAGCGTATTATTGGTCATTTGCTCGGCTGTGCCAGGCGTATAACTGAATAACTGGTTGGAAATAAGCAGTGTAGAACACACCTATGACTGCTGTTGGGTCTGTGTGAGGGGACTGCTGTCACTGGTTGTGTTGCTCCACAGCCCTGGATGTCCAGCTGTTGCAGAACGTCCTGCTGATGAAATTCAAGCTGCAGGACAGCACTGACACACTGGATGTGTTCCTATGGCAACAAGCGGTGAGTTTAGCTGCTAAATGCGCTGACTCAACACGAGTTTATATTGCATTGCAAATGGAGTAAACCTTTCTTTAAAGTTCACAGCTCCAGTTCAGAGACCTCATTTCTCAGCCCTAAAAACAGCAGTGGTACCTCTGGGTTTGCAAACATTTATCAGCACATGAAACTGGGAACTGTTGTTCTTCTGTAAATGACTCAGAGGGTCTGACCTCGGTTTGGAAAGCTGGGAGATACCTGCTGCTGGATGTGCTGCCATAGAAATAAAACTGAATTGAATTGAAACACTCACATTATGGTGAGATGAGGGGAAAGAAAGAGAAGTGTAAAGTTTTGGGGTTTTTACATAAAGAGTTTCATTAAAAGAAAACATAAGAACATTAGAAAAAGAATATCGATCAATACCATATGATGATTGAAATGATACGAAGATGATTTATAAGAAAGGTATTGTCCATGGAAGCAAATGTCCAAATGATGAAAATACCAGAAAGACTTGCCAACCGTAACAGCTCTGGACAAAAGTCTAGTGGCCGTGACTTTAGAGTTCATATTATTTCCTAAGATGTATCATTAATGGTGGCCAGATCCTTAAAAAAGCTGAAGAAGAAATTGAAAAAGTTCTATGGATTTCTTCCAGATAATAAAACCTCTTGTTGGCATGTAAACACATTATCTAATATATTGGTTTTTACTCAAATTAAATCACAATATCTCTGTTTAAAACTAGAGTAGAGCAGAGGTTAATGAATTATGGGAACAATTGTGCAGTAAAAAACTAAAATATCATTAAAAAAAACAAACAACCTCTTTCTAGTTAGAGTGACTATAAATCTATCCATGACAGAGTGAACCGTCATAAAATGAGGCTTTATTAGCTACTGAGTGCTGTCTGTTAATAATAGAAACAAGCTTTTGTCTCCTCTTAACCCGGGTTGCATCTTTGGCTTTCTTCAGGAGACGTTCTTTGGTGTGTCAGCAGAGGAAATAGCAGCCAATCAGGATGTTCAGAGCAGCATTTGCCAGACCCTGAATTCCCTCTGTCCTGAGGATGGCGGTGCAGGTATGTGAAAGAACACACAGCACAGGGGAAGCCTCAAGTTTAGTACCGTAATGCCAAATAAAATGCCCTTTCTCTGCCGGCTGGAGGCATTCACTGCTCAAACACACATTTAAAAAATCACTATTTCATAGACACACTCATAAAGACCGTTAAGGACATAAAAAGTATACAAACCTGCCAACCACACCATCAGTGGCTACTTTCTGAAATCTAAATGAATTACTTACCACATAAATATGTTTTTGTTTTTCATAATAAAACTAGTCAGAATTGTGGAAAATCTTTAGAGAAAATAAATGCTACCCAATGCAATTGTTACTCATTCCCTCATTGTGGTTATTAATTGAAGCGTGCAGCCATGCCTTCCGATGCAAAAGAAGGAAATAAAAAAACATGAAATATACAAACTAAATTAATAGAATAATGCTAAGTGTGATACAATTACTAACAAAAATGTGCAAGAGAAAGGCTAATATCGTAACAAATGTGATGATAATAGGGACACAAAAGCAGTATGTTTTAAGATATTGTATTTTAACAAGCACTATTTAATGAGATAATAAAAAAAAATCAATATGAAGATTATGTAGTAAGAATTATTGGCAGCAAAAAGAACAAACCTATCAGAAAAATCCAAAATCCGGTGTAAGTACTGTTGACCCCGTTGAGTGCCTGACCGGTGTGAGGTGTGCTCTGACCGGTGTGAGGTGTGCTCTGACCGGTGTGAGGTGTGCTCTGACCGGTGTGAGGTGTGTCCTGCCCTCAGGGGGGCGTCCGTGGCTGAACCTGTGCCTGATGGCCTACAGACCAGAGTGTGACGGGTTCCAGAGCCAGACCTGCTACCAGCTCTGCAACAGCAGCCTCACCCTGGGCCCGCTGCAGCACCCCCCCCCCGGAGCCCCCCCCACAGCCTCCTGAGCGGGAGCACCCCCCGGAGCCCCCCCCACAGCCTTCTGAGCGGGAGCACAGAGTCCGGAGAGTCCTACTGAGGGAAGCCTGTCTTCTTAAACTGTACAGTTCATCCTCCGAGGCTCTTATAGTTTTTATATATTTGTGTTTGCTGAGTAGAGATAATAGGAAAAAGTGCATATAATGAATGACATGTCAAACCTATATAAAGAAATGATGTATGAAAGTATTTTTCCATTTAGCTGACTAGACAGTATTAGAAAAATGACTTTTTAGACTTTTTGTAAATATATAATAATAAAAAGTTTGTTTATTTATAAGGTGCTGACCCGTTCATATTGTCAGCAGCCAGTGACTCATTATTGATGTGGGGGGGTTGAGTCTCACCAGCACACTGTAAAAACCACTGTTTGTGGTTTCAATTGTTTTTAGTTTTTTTGATAAAGTACCCTTTTATATATTCAAATGTATTGACATTATCTCCATGTGTAGGATGTGTTGCAGGAGTGTTTTTATAGTTTTATTGTTATGGCAGAAATGTGTTGTTACTCTGAATTGAATAAAAGATCTAAGCTTTCTATGAAATGAAGTCTACATGAGCTTGGTCTGGGTCTGATCATTTTTATGTTCCATTCTCACGACCTGATCTTAATCATCTCCCATATAAGCTTAGTCTCTGTTTTTCTAACCCGAAATTGAGGAGTTTAAAAATCTGTTCATCGTAGTTTTCTCATCCCTCTGAACTTTTTTCTGAGAATATATATATATGTATATAGAAATACAGAGATTAAAATAATATTTTTGGTCTGAGTACTCATCAAGTCCTACCAAATTCTTTAGGGCAGCAGACATTGTGAGTTCCCAGTTCAGTTCCTCACTGGGGGGCTTTGATATAGTTCTGAATTTGAAACTCCTTTGGGATCATTCATAGAGTATCTATCTTCAACAGGTAACAGTATTTTCTTATAACCCTGCCTTAATCACTATCTTGGATAACTTTAATGTTCAGGACTATGTGTGTCTCTTACAGGATGCAAAAAAGCTAAATGAAAGAATTCATTTGATCAGAATAGTATCTACTTGGATGTTTTGGTCTAATCTCTGTTTAAAAACGGTGGACACTGTTGCCCCTCTAAAATCGGAAGTTGACCCGTCACAAAAAGATTGTTCCTTCATATCATTCTGAGGGGTAAACTTTTAAGGTGAACAACTAGAAAAACCAACGAGAGTGACCGGTGGAGGCGGCAGCGCGCGCATCCAGACTCGCATCCATCCTCCTCCTCCTCCCCCTCCTCCTCCTCCTCTTCCTCCTCCTCCTCCTCCCGCCTCGCCTCTCCCATCCTCCTCCCCTCCAGTCGGACCCTCTCTCCTCCGGCAGAAGGTCTGAGCCTCAGAGCACGCGCTGGTGAGCGCTTCTCTCTGTGCTATTACTTTAGAACCCGGCAGACGGACCGGGGGGCTTTGGTAGTCCGGCAGACGGACCGGGGGCTGCGGGAGTCCGGCAGACGGACCGGGGGCTGCGGGAGTCCGGCAGACGGACCGGGGGGCTGCGGGAGTCCGGCCCCCCTTCGGGAGGACGCCTGGTGCTTCGGCCCGTCCGGGGATGTCTCGGGACCGGACCCGCTGGAAGCCGACAGGTTGGCTGCTTCTCCTGCAGTAGAGACAAAGTGCTACGGTAGTTTTTGAAGCCAGAAGACGAGAGAGGAGTGGAAATGTGGCGGTAGCTTAAAGTCCGGGTCTGTCCGCACGGGTCACTGAATCTGGACCCGTTTCACCTGCCTGAACAAGATGCGGCCCGGGCTGCTGAGGCTGCTGTGCTGCTGCCTGTGCAGCGGGCTGGTCCTGAGTCAGCCCCGCGGGCTCAGCGCTGCGAGTCCTGGCCCCGGGAGTCCTGGTCCCGGGAGTCCTGGTCCCGGGAGTCCTGGTCC